GGGGAGGAACAGAGAAACAGAGAGGATCAACAATCATATGTGTCACGATGCGGGGGAATCAGGCGCTCATCACTTTTTGGGGTATATGGAGTTATTGGTACCATCTTAAAGCGCGTCCACTTGCCTTGCTTTTGGTGTAAAAAAATACTCATTTATCTTTGATATAAGTCAAGATATTTGCGATTGAAGGAGGTGGGGGTCACCTGGTTTAAGAGGTAAAATTAGCGAGAATATGGCCGCCAAGGCTTGGTAAATTTCAAAGCTGGAGAGTCCATGGAAACTGTAAATTTATATTATTGTGCCTTTAATCAATGTTTTTCGGTGAAATCCTCATGGGAATGTGTTTGTAAATGGACATAAAAGGTGTCTAGCCAAAAAACAAAAATTTGATAAAAATTGTTAAGCAGGGAGAAAACTGCTGTTTTCTTCCATTTCATTATTTTGACGAGAGCCTGATTCCACCACGGTGACTCACATATGTGTCACGACGCGGGGGAATCAGGCGCTCGTCAATTTTTGGGGTATATGGAGTTATTGGTATCATCTTAAAGTTAAAGCCTGTCCATTTGCCTTGCTTTTGGTGTTAAAAAATATTCATTTATCTTTGATATAAGTCAAGATATTTGCGATTAAAGGAGGTGGGGGTAGCCTGATTTCAGAGGTAAGATAAGCGAGAAAATAGCCGCCAAAGTTGAGTTATTTCCTTAGCTTGAGAGTCCGTGGAAACTTAAAATGTACATCCTTTACGCCTTTAATCAACGTTTTTCAGTAGAATCCACACAGAAATGTTTTTAAAGGGCTTGAAAGGGGTTGAGCCAACAAACAAAAATTCGATTAAAAATCCAAAACCTACGGAAAATGCCAATTTATTTTACTTTCATTATTTTGACGAGCGACTTATTTCACCACGCTGCCTCACATAAGCCTGCCCCCGTGGTTTTATGCACCCCGCAAAATGTAGCAAAATTTGATCATTTTTGGCATAATTTCTGATTATTTTCCTTTACCCTTCTTTGTTAAAATTAACAGAATCGCATAATTTCACATTTTTGGGCTCAGTATGCGTAATTTCAGAATTTGCCTTGCATAAAACGACGGAGACAGCTATGAGAGGCAGCATGGTGAAATACAGAAATCGGAGAAACCGGCTTTTTCCCCCGACAATTTGAAAACTTTTATCGAACTTTTTTTTCTGGCTGCACCTTTTTTATGTCCATAATAAAACACTTTGAAAAACCTTGACTTGGGCACAAAATATGTCATTTTTATGTTTTTAAGGACTCTCTAGCCATTAATGGGCTTACCAAACTTTGGAAGTTATTTTCTCTCGAATTTCACTACAGAATCCAGGGGACCTCACTTCCTTGATTAGCAGATATCTCCAGTTCTGAGGAGGAGGAGGAGGAGGAGGAGGAGGAGGAGGAGGAGGAGGAAGAAGAAGATTACGACTTTGGTGCTTGGTGAAGCGCTCTGGGGCTGTTTGTTTTTTGTTTGGTTGGGGTTTTTTTGTTTATTTGTTTATTTGTTTTGGTGTGTATTCTATGGTCGACATGTCTTTCGCAAGAACATATCGAGGTGATTTTCCGCCAAAAAAAATCCTGTCATCGTCATCACTTGATATTTATGAGGTTCTCATTAACTATTCGTTCACTGGACTAGAAATGTGCAAAGAGGAGATTTTTCAAACAAACTTTTTATAAAAACGTGGCGATTTCATTTGTTCCCGTTGGAAAATATATAATTTCAGTATTTCATTTTAAAAAATAATGAAATAATATTTTGTGTTGTATTGTTTTAATTGTTATTGATCGAGGAATTCTTTTTTTTTGTAAGGATCCCCCCAGGTGGGAATCTGGTTTACAATGGAACGTGCAATGACAATTCTTCCATACAATAATTGATCAGTGTAATACAAAACACAATATCAAACCAATACATGCAGTTTTGCAAACACGCCATTGCTGATCGCAAATGTATTGCACTCTGCAGTTTTTAAACTAGAGGTATCGCCCAGTGAGAGGGTGGTTGGAGGGTGCCACTGGAAGGTCCTACTTCTTTACTCTCCCTCTGCTGTTTCTGTCTGTCGGTCTTACTTTTTCCCCGGCACTAAATGTCGATGTTCTTCTCTTTTCTCAAACAAACAGCCCAGCGCCCCCACCCCACCCCACTCCACCCTACCCCACCTTACCCCCACCTGCAAATCATAAAGTCATGTCAATGATATTCTCAACATCTTTTTTACCCAAAGCTTAATATTAAGCACTCTCAGCCACTGAATTATCCCCCTTCCATCAGCCTGCATGATAAAGTAGTTGCGTATGGCGCAATAAACTATCAGTTTGAAACACTGACTTAGCTATCGCTGGTCGACACGTCGCATGCACAATGCCCTCTC